CTACATAATGAGTTCAAGGCCAGTGTGAATTATATAGGGAGACCCCATCTCAACAAACAAACAAAAAACAAAATTTCCAGGTGCGGTAGTGCACACCTAAAGTCCCAGCATTTAGGAGGTTGAGAACAGGAGGATCTTGAGTTCAAGGCCAGCCTGAGCTACATAGCAAGACCTTGTTTCAGAAAACAAAAAACCAAACAAAACAGTAAGTTGTAAAAATGGAAGCTAATTGGAGCCCAAGTACATTGGAGAGGGAGAAAACTCAGAGTAAGGGTTTTCTGACTTGGTATCTGTTAGTTCTCTGTTGGGAGTTCTTGGTATCCATTAGTTCTGCCTCAGTGCTGGCTGACTTCATGTTGTTATGTGTAAACGTTGTTTAGAACCCGTTTTGATCAGTGTGTGACAAATTTGCTCCCGGCCGTATACCATATCTTAACTCTAGGACACATCTAGTTTTAACTCTTTTCCTAATTAAAATGTTATTGTTGACAACAAAGAGGAACTATGTTTAGGGTGATACTTTCAAACTAAAAATAAAGCAGTAATTCTCAGCCAAGCTAAAGGAGAACAGTATCCGTACTTTAAAAAAGTTCCCTACTAGAATCCCAGCTCCTTGAGAGGCTGAGGCAGGAGGATCACAAATTTGAGGCCAGCTTGGGCAATTTAGTGAGACTTTGTTTTTTAAAAAACGAAAAAAACCCAAAACCAGTGGAGGTGTGGCCCAGCACTCCCTGGGCTCAATTCCCAGTGTTGGGTATGTGTGTGTTAGATGGAGGTATAGTTTCCTAGGGTTTCACTCCCCTAGTTGAAAAATGATGCATTGAAATCTACTTTTTACTACACAGTGGCAGATAGAGTTTAGGTTATTAAGATATGTTGTATCCACTGCCCTGAGGGAAGGGTCTTTGGGAAGTATAGAGAGAACCACTATTTCCACAGCTTCTTGGGACTCTCTCACTGTACTCCAGAAGGCATTCTGGTTCAGTGTGAGTTTCCTGCCCGATCTGTAAGAAGACTTTAACATTTGAACTACTTTTTAGTTGTCATTCTTGCATCAGCCTTTCACTGAGTCACTTTACCAGCTCTTTTCCTGAAGATAGGAGTAGAGAAACTGTTTTTGAAGTTAGAAGATCTAACCCTGCCATTTACTGGTTTAAAGCTGCTTAAATTTCAGGGTTACCTAGGGGATGGAATTGAGCTTGAAGGAGGTAGATCAGATCCTTCTGTTCCTACCAAAGTACCCTTTACATGTAAATATAACCAGTTTATAATAGATTCCTCTTGGTTATGAATGAGTTAATCAGTGTATGATTCATGGCTGTAGGAAGAGGGATGGTTAAGTTAAAATACGAACACAGTAGAGAATGTATATTTTTACATTCCTTTTTGAACTAATTTCATATCCATAAGAAGTTGTTCTTTTTTTTTTTTTTTTTTTTTTTTTTTTTTTTTTTTTTTTGGTTTTTTTCCGGTACCAGGAATGAGAAGTTATAATAGTAAGAACACTCAGTCTTCTCTCAGATTTGCCAGTTGTTAGCATTTGACCATTTGCTTTATTGTTCATTAGGAGAGCATGTTAAAATAACAATTGAGTGTTTCGGTTTTTTTTCTGTAAAGTCAGGCATGCTTCCACATGACAATTATCTCATGTAATCGTTGCAATAACCCAATACTGTATAGGCAGTGTTACTGCTTATAGGACTTAGGTCAGTTGCCTGAAATTCCACAGCAGGTAAATGTCAGCAATGGGACTTACACTAATTGGTTTAGCAGGTCTCTATTTCTCACTATTTCCTCTACTAGTAGACCTGGAGACCTACATGCTAGCTCAGGTTTTACCACTAATATCAGTATGACCACTGACAATTTAGTTTGCCGCTCTTCCTCACATTTCCCTTCTGTAAATGGAACCCAGTGTCCCTGACCCTGACTCACCTGATGTTTTCCACTTAACTTTAAAGATAAGTTATCTTCAATGAAATGTCCTGAACTTTTAAACTATATCAACCAGTGTTCAAATCTAGAATAGCCAATTATGTAATATAATTCATTTAAGACAAAAAAGACTGAAGCTTTCCATCAAGTTTGATGTTGAAGTTACTGGTGATGTGAGACTATACCCCTTTTCCTCCACTTAGCTTCCATATGAAGGAGGTGGAACTGCTGTAGTTTACTGATGTTCTGTTTTACAGTGGAAGAAACCAAGAGGTTTTTCCTTTTGGAAAAACAGTTCAAGGGTACTGGACTGTTCCTTGCCCTAGTAACTGTGCTCTTGAGATCATGATTCTTGACTCTCTTCCTGGCCAGCTGCAGGGTCCTGAGCTTCTCTGAGACTAGGGAAGACTATAGCAACATTTGGTCTTCAGATCGTCTCTACTTTCTTTGGAGTTGAGTTGAGTATTTCCCCTCCTCTTCTTTGATTTGCCCAGAGGGAGCTTTTGGTTTTGATGGAAATAGATCTTCTAGGACATTGAAACAAAATTGTAAATTGCTAGCTCATGAATCACTTGTAGCTGGCAAATACATATTTTTCTTTAATTTTTATTTTTTATTAGTATATTTGTAGTATAGAATGACCACATTCCTCATGGGGAGTTGGTACATATACATAAATTCATCTTAATTCTTTTGCACCCCCTTTCCCTCTCTTCTCTCCCACCTCTATCTCTTGGTCCCTTTCCCTTTTTGCAAGAGCTCTATTTCCTATTACTGATTTTTTTATTTTTCTTTTTGAGACACGGTCCCACTATGTAGCTCAGGCTGGCCTTGAACTCACTGTGTAATCCAGGCTGCCCTTGAATTCATAGTGCTTCTGCTGCCTCAGCCTGCCAAGTGCTAGGGCTATAAGCATGTGGCATTATGCCCAGGCTCTATCTTTTATTCTGCTTTGTATTTATATTTTGGGTTTCTCATGTAAGAGAGACTATGCAATATGTAAGCTTGTGTGTCTTATTGCACTTAACATTATGATCTCAAGGTGCATCCATTTACCTACAAATGCCTCAAGTTTATTCTTCTTTCAATGGCAGAGTAGTATGTACTCCCTTGTATATAAATACCAGCCTGGTAATGGACATAAGGCTGCTTCTAAGATTTAGGTATTATGAATTGTGCTACTAAAAACCTGAGTATGCATGTGTCACTCTAATTTGATGGTTTTTTAACTCTTTTTGGGAAGATACCTAGAAGGGGAGTAGCTGGAGCAAATGTAATTTCTTGTTTTTTAGATTTTTGAGAATCTCTCTGCTGATTTCCATAGTGGTTACACTAGTTTACATTCTCACCAACAATGTAGAAGGGTTCCTTTTTTCCTATAGCTTCTGCAGCATGTATTATTACTGTATTTGATTTCTTGATTATAGCCATTCTTCTGGAGTCACATGGAATCTGAATGTTGTTTTAATTTGTATTTCTCTGAGGACTGGCAGTGTTGAACATTTTTTCATGTATGTATTGGCTATTTGTACTTCTTTTCATTTCAGTTTCTCATTTTTTGATTGGATCTTTCATTTTGGGGGGGGGTGTATAAAGAACTAAAAGAAGATACTAGTTCTCTGAGGAATAGCTGCCCCAGTTTTTTCCCATTCCATAGGTTGTCTCTTCACTCTGATAGTTATTTTGTTGTTGTTGTTGTTGTGCAGAAGCTTTTTAATATGCTATAATCCTATTTGTTGATTCTTGATGTTATCTTTTGTGCAGTTGGGGTTCTGTCAGAAAGTCCTTACCTACACCTATGACTTCAAGAGTTTTACCTGTTTTATCATCTGTGAAGATTGTTTCTGTTTTAACATTTAGATCTTTGATCCATTTTTATTTTAGTTTAGCATATGGTGAGAGATATGGGTGTAGATTCAGTCTTCTCCATGTGAATAGTCAGTTTCTCCAGCACTATTTATTCAATGTATTTATTTTTGAAGAGTAGGAACATTTATGGGGAAAAGAAATGGAAAATAGGAATAGCTCCTGAGAGATAAGAGGGGTCTCAAATGGGTTGCCAACGTGCCCTCTTCTCAGAGGAAGTTTTATAGAACAAAATCATGAGATGGGTATAATATTGATCAAAAATTATATTAATGGATAATATTTTAGCACCATTTATTAAAGGTGCTCTCTAGGAGGGGTTGAAAGGAGGGTAGGGGAATGGGAAAAAAAAGAAACAAGCTATATCATGTACAGGTACAAATGCTCCATGATGAATGTGATCATTATATATATCTAAAATGCACCGATACAACCTGATTTAAAAAAGAAGATGCTCTCTTACAGATATATTTTTGGCTTACTGAATGTTTAATTTTTTTCATTAGTAACCAGTATTTAAAAGCCAGAGGATTTCACATAAAAACGGAGATTTGTTTCCAGTCTGGACCTACACAGAAGGTTTGGCTAGAATTAGAGAGTAATAGTAATAGGTTGCTAGTGTTCCTGCTTCATGTCTGATGTCTGTAGACATTTGAATTTTCAGCTTCAAACCTAAAACTTGAACTCCAGTTTTGAAAGCTCATGAAGTACAATCTGATGAGCTAAGTAGTGGTGGGTTATCTTATCTTTGGTGATCAAAGAGCCCTGAGTAGGTAGAAAAATAGCTCATAAAAGTAACAGGATTTCTCCAAAGTCAGTCTTATCCCCACTCCTGTCAGAATTTCATTTCCATTACTATGGAGCCACAGTGGCTTGTAGACCCCAGAGAGATGCAGCCATCTTCCTTATATTCTGCATACTTCCCGTTCACTGCTTCATTCCCTGTACACAGGCTTCACTACCAGCAGAGGGTGCTCTCCACTCACTGAGCCTGCTGTCATCCTGGCTCAGCTGAGCGCCAGCTGTTGGGCATGTGCCTTGGGTCTGTATGAAAGTTTGGGCATGTCCTTTTGGTTCCCATCCCCAGTGCCCACCCCTTAGGCCCTGGCCAGGTTATTGTGTCACTAGGGACTCTGTTCAGTAACACAGGAAACTGGGGAAAGTTTAATTGTTTTCTCCTCTCCCTTTTTCCCATGCAGCTGAACAAAAGGTTCATCCTCAGTTTTCTCCATGCCCATGGGAAGCTGTTTACCCGGATTGGGTAAGTGTGCAGGATGTTTATTTTATTTTCCTACATTACAAGTCATTTTGGAATTTAATATTGTTAGCAACTAGACTGTGTTTGTAACTGAGGGCACAGGGTGTGAATTCTTAAAGGTCTCCACCTTCTCTTTGCTCTCTGTCCTGCTCTGTTCATGAAGTTTGGGAAATATTTCTCTGTCTTCTTTCTCTACCTTTACTAGACACCCCTCCCCCTCTTTAAGGGCTGTCTTTTCTCATCCCCCTCCCCTAGTTCCTCTAGCTTTCTCTTTCCTCTGCTTTCTGCCTCTGCCCCTAGTGAGCTCATACAGGCAGTCATGCTACATCCCTGGGTACAGCTACAGGGGTTCTCCTTGGGGAAAAACTACCCACTAATTTTTCCTCTGAGACAAGAGGAACATTTTCTTTCTTCCATGTTCTTTGGCCTATACCACTTCTTTTTGTGCTCAGTTTCCTATACTATGTTGGTAATCTTAGTAAATACCAAGCCTGTTCTATGGTTTCACCATCCATCATAGATTTACATACAGATCTCAGGGAAAATAATGTGTGCAAATCCCTCTTACCTTGGGCTGGTAATACAGCTCAGTGGCTCAGTGCCTGCTGGGCAAGGGCGAGGTCCTGAGTTCGATCCCCATTGCCAAAAAAAATTCCCCGCATTACCTTATCTTATAAGTCCCTGGAAAGAGATTGAGTTTTGAGTATTCCTTTGGTAGATCAGAGTTTTTCACAGTGTAAAGCTTGTGAATACAGCCTAACTTAATGCCTTCACAAAGCAGAGACATGCTGAGCATCGTTCATGTAGGCTTTCCCTGGGTACAGAACAGTGAAGAAAAAGGTTGCAATGTTCCCAGAGAGGTCTTCTGGATTTTAATATTTTCTGAATTGGAGTTTTATTGTGAGCTGTCTTTGGAGGTGATTTGTTTTGTATTATAAACCCTCCAGTTACTGTCAGTGCTTCCCTTTCACTTTCTGTCATAATGCTCTAGGTTTGTCTGTAATGCTGTAGGAAGTTTTTTTAGTGGGAGTAGGAATTATGTCAGTTTCTACATACTTTGTATTTAACTCTTTTGAGAAGTTGAAAGGCTTTGACTAACTTGTAGAAACACTGCCCAATGGATGGTGAACTAGAAAGTATGCTTAATATGTGTTCATTTGGAATCAGCCTGAGCAAGAGTGACAGTAATGGCCATTGCAAAGGTCTCTTTGATGTTGAAATGACTTGGGCAAATTGGGAAAGTGCTCAAAGATGAATATCTATCAGTAGAAATGTTTTAAATAATTCACTTAGGAAAAATAAACTAGATGCCTTAATACCTCCCATGTCTCCACTTCTACTTCTGATATCAATATAAGCTCCACTGTGACTGGAGTTTTTACATCATGCTATTTTATTTTGAGTGCCTGGCGTATATAGTAGGTGCTCAGTTAATATTTGTTGTATGAGTGTGTGAATCATTATAAGAAATGGATTGTGAAAGACCAGAGAGGAGGATCTAGTATTCTAGTAAGTTACACCAGAGCCAAGCTGATCACTGATGAATAATGAAAAGCTGCAGTTATAGAACAGGTAAGATAAAATTGGTATCTATAAGACTGTATTTAAAACAATGCATCATGGTGGGAAATACTGTTTTACTGCACTTAAAATAACAGTTGAAGGTAGTTTCACTCCTTATCTCTTTATCTTTTTTTAGTTTTCATTTTTTACATCTTCTTCTCATTTTTTTACTGAATAGTTTCTCTCCTTTTCCCCTTTTCTTCTGTTTCTTCTTTATATTTTCCTATACCAGGTTGATCTAAGTCACATTTTTTTTTCAACCTCAGTACTGTTGAGCTGGGTGGGTTTGTCTCCTTTTGTAATGCTGTGAACTGAATTTAGGACTTCATGCATCTAGGCAACAGTACTCTGCCACCGAGTCATTCCGCTAGTCCTGAGCCAGGTAATTCTTTGTTGAGGGAGTCGTCCTCTGCGTTATAGGATTTAGCACCATTGGCTTCTTTCCATTGTAAGTCAGTAGCACCTTTCACCCCTCAAATTGTGATAACTAATATATCTCCAGACATGCCAGATACTACATGGGGGGCAAATTTGCCCCTCATTGAGAACTACTGTTTTAGCTGTTTATTGCTCTTTTAGAGACTTTTGGAACTGAAAAACCCACAAATCTTGTTTCAGATTGTAAATATAGTTAGGATTTATTTATTTATTGTGAGTTTTTTTGGAGACAGGGTCTGTCTGTGTCAGTGATGGCAAACCTTTTAGAGCTTTTAATGATAATAAACAGCCCACTGTAGCATGCGTGGCATAGGTTCACCACCACTGGTCTATGTACTCCACACTGGCCTTGAACTCACTATGCAGCCCAGGCTGACCTTGAACTTGCAGCAATACTCCTGTCTTAGCCTTCCAAGTGCTGGGATTACAGTCATGTGCCACCATGTCTGGTTAGGATACATTTTTATCAGGTTATGTTAATTAAACTTTTATTCCCTCCCCCTTTTTAGAATTCTCATGTTTACACACCTGTACTTCAGAAGACATTTGGGAAAGAACTATAATACTATAATAATTAAAAAGCTGGAAAGTGAGATCTGGAAGGAAAAATTAATCTTAAACGCTTCTAGGTGGGGATGTAGTTCAGTGGCAGAATGCTTACCGAGCATGTTTGAGGCCCTGGGTTTGATCCCCACCACTGTCAAAAACAAAAGCCAAAAAACCCACTAAGGTAAAAAAAAAAAAAAATTAGAGACAGTTATAGGGTGCCCTATATTTAAATATAAAGAAGCCATAATCAGATAGTTTTTGTTTTTACGGGCTGACAATAAGAGAAATAGAGAGATATTCTCTCTACATTAGAAAAAATTAGAAAACATAGCAGACAAAAGAAATAAAAATTTACTCATATTCTTATTACCCAGTGATAACTATCCACCTTTAACATTTGGTGTGTAATTTTTGAATATCTCACTCACTCTACACTCAACAACTGGAGAGGTGGGTTAGGTGTAAGAAAGTTGTATAGAGAATAGATGTTTGGGGAGTTTCTTTCCCTGAAGGCCTTTTAAAAAAAAGAACAAATTATCTCATTTGTCTGGAGTGGTTTATTTAATCCAGGTTATTTTTCAGGATCTCTTTCATTTCTCTATAATATATTTTGTTGTCAAAAAGACAAAGCCAGACTATTTTTACCTTTATAAAAGATGAGTTATCATAGTTTTCAGAGAGGAAAATGTGTATCAGCTCTCAGCATACTTTAGCCCCTGGATGACTCTTACGCTTTCTTGAAGGTAAAAGAGAACTGAGCCCCAAATTTATTCAGGAGGCAAAAACAGCAGTAACATTTGTATTGTTTAAAAAAAGAAAAAAAGAAAAGAAAAAAATGTATATAAGTCTGTAAGACTAGAAAAGAAGCGAGCCCAAGCCACACACATCATGGCCTGTTGCCTAATTACCAAGAAGATGTGAAATGTGGGAGGCGTTGAAAACAAATTAAGACTGAGAGGATTGTAATGGGGAGCAGCTGAAGGCACGTCACTGTCCCGCCTGCCTTTTGAGAAAAGCCCTGTAATTGTTCCTCTGTCTTGGTCTTCTGTGCAACCTGGTGTTCCAGGGTTCATCAGTATATACTTGAATACCTACTGTGTGAGACTTCTGCTTACTCTCAGAATCAGCAGACAAGAGGTTCAAGGGCTTTAATGAGATCAAGTGCCAAAAAGTGTTTTTCACCACTTACTAGGTACAAGACCTTGAGAGTAAACAAGTCAGAGCTTCTGTGGGCTTCAGTTTCCTTATCAGTGGTCTAATGGATGATCTCTGAGATGCATTCTAGTTCTTATGTTTTCTCTCATTTCCCTCCTGTCACATGGCTTAATTTTTTGTTACTATTTTTTTTCTTATTTAGTTCCCATATTGATCCCTTCTCAGTTTTTAAAAAAATTGAGAAAAGTTAGGAAGCTGATTGTTTTGTACAGATAATGTTATGTAGCCCAGCTCTGTTCCTCACCACCAGAGGGGTTGGGTCCTGCCCTTTTAGTCACTGTCTGAGTCATTCCTAAGTCTGGGTCTCAGGGTTCTCTGAAAGATTGAATTCTTAAAACTGCCATTCAGCTGAGACAAGGTATCGCTTAGAGATCACTTCACAAGGCAGTCACTTCAGTCAGTGAGTGAATGCATATCCTGTTAATCGAGTCTTCCGAGGTTTTAGAGTAGGGATGGAGTCCTCTTGGACTCAGGAAGGGGAGATGGTCAGGGATGCTGGGTGATTCCTGATAGATACTTTCCTGGTGGAGGCAAAGCAGGTTTGCACTTGGCTTTCACTGAGAGGGTCGAGAACCTGGCAGTTTGTAGACTATTGATTTGTGACAATTGGAATAATTCCACTTCCTATTATTGCCTTGGTTAAAGTTACTGCTTTAGTTGTTATTTGCTTTTGCATGATTATGCAATTTGCCCAGCTTCAAGTCTCTTGGAATTTAAAACCTGATATATTTATTTTGGACTTTGAGTTTTTAAAAATATAATGTTTATGTCTTGATTTATTTTTAAAATTAACAAATGTTTTTAAATACAAAAGGGGAAAATCATAGTGGGGGAAATCATTTTCTGTGTTAGGTAGTGCTCATTATAAAATTAGAAAACACAGCAGACAGAAGAAATAAAAATTTACTCATATTCTTATTACCTAGTAATAACTATCCACCTTTAACATTTAGTGTATAATTTTTGAATATCTCATACTTTTTGTAAATAAGTGTCAGAAGTGCTCATATGAAATTGTTTTCAACTATTTTCATTTATTATATGTTCATATTTCTCAGAAATGATTAAAAATTGTGGTACAGTTTTTTTAAAAATAGTCCTCAACGTGCAGATGCACCACTGTAATCATCTGTTATTCTTGGGCATTTTAGGCTGCCTTCAACTTTTTACTATCATGAATATCTCTGTTCTTCCTCCTCTTTACTCTATTGCTGCTGCTGCTGCTGCAGTTTCTCATTCTTCTTGGCTTGACTTTTGTAATTATTACATAAGCAATAATCCAAAAATCATTATAAAAATATAACATTACAGGTAAGGCTAAAATGTCTTTCAGCGCTGCCCCAACTCCTGTGCACTCCAGAGTAGTAACTCTAGACATACATATGTTCTTCAAGACCTCTTAAATGCCTTTGCATACTTATATATGTGTCAGTAAAAACACATAATTTTATTTTGTGGTTTTTTTCTAACCATTAACTTTATACCATCATATCCTCAGATTTTGTAGAATTTTCTTTCTGTAATATTGGGTTGGGGCAAAGATTATTTCTCAGAGAGAAAGACACAAAACTATTTACAGGTAGTTTGAAGCCAAAATCGGAGATTTTGGTTACAAATCTGGGAAGCAGAAACCTTGTTATGGAGCCCTGAAGAGGAGATTTGTCTGTGCTTCCCTCAGTTACTGCTTAACAAAGCTGATTCTCTCTGGGTGGATCTGTCTTCCCTTATATCTTGCGTATGAAGTTACTCTTACGTGTTTGATTTTTTTATCTTTTGTTTTAATCATATTGTATTAGTTCAAAGGTGAAGGGAGGGTTTTTAAAAACTTCTTTAAAAAAAGGTGCACATTAGACATGTGGTCCTTTGAGACTTTAGTCTGATCCAGAGAATGTTAATGGAGCCGTTTCAATTCCAATCCCAGGGAAGAGGCTTCCTCAGACACAGCTTCGAAGCAAGACTGTCCCACGTGACACTTGGTCCTGTCGTTCTGTGCTGGCTCTCAGCTGCCTTTCAACACGGAGACACATGGCTCTGAAACTTGCCTAGTGTGGCTGCTTTTCAAGCAGAGTGAACTCTGCTCCTCTCGTAATGAGAAGTGCTAGTCCCCCTCCCCACCTCCAACAAGAAAGAGTGCTGCACAGTGTCAGGATTTAAAATGAAACCTTTGTTATAGCCCATGGGGAAAAATGGATCCAGTCCAGCCCCAAACATATCCGTCTCTGCCATTTCAAATCTACCAAGAGTTTTAGTGGCTCTGAAACTTTTTAGAGGGAAAAAAGGGTTTGTTTAGTTTTGTTTTGGAGTGGGGCACTTGAAATGGCATGTGGAGGAAAAAAGCAAATGTATGGCATGTTTTGTGCCAATGAAAATGAGGGCAGCTCAGCAGAGAAGGGAAATGGAATGTAAACTGTAATTGACCTGTAGCTGTGGCATGACTTCTGGGTACCAAAGGGTCAGCAAGAGGAGTTGCCATCCAAGGCAAGGAATGGAGATTGTCGATTCCAGAAAGCTCTAGGGTTTTCTTGTCTGAGGAGGGTACTAGTAACTCAGTGGGGAAAGGGCCAGCATTGGGATGAAACTAACAGGATCTTTCTCTAGGACTTGAAACTGTTTTGTTTCTTTTGAGAAGGATTCCCTTCTCTGTGGCTTTCCAGAAGCTGTTTATTAATCCAGCCTAGAACTGTTCCCCACCCACCCCTCACACCACCACAAGCAGTTTGGTTGGGGGAGTGGGATAAAAGGTACTTTGCTGACCATGAATTGTTCGAAGTGGCCGTAAGGCCTATGTGCCTGGTTTCTCTCTCTAGCACCAAGTTTGAGTGTGCCTTTTTTTTCAGAGGACTTGAGCTGTGGTTTGTTCCTGTTGCCAAAGGAGCTCCAGGCATGCACCACTGTTTAGGATCCAGTGGCCGCATTTGGCAAGCAGTGATTTGAATGACCTCTCCTTAGGAGCCCTAGGTCACTGGCTGGATTTTTGCCTCCCTGCATTACAGGCTCTTCCTGTATTGGGAGTGGCAGTTGGCCAGGGCATTATATTTCCACTGGCCTGAAAACATACAGACCCTGATGAGCAGAGGCTTGTGAGAAAGAGGAGGATAGCAACACAGAAAAGGCTGAAATAGATCATTAGGGCCCTAGTCTTCAGGGTTTTTTCAAGGGGAACCTTGGGATCATTAGGTAGGCCAATCAGTGTGATATCTAAGAAGACAACAGGAAACAATACATGGTTTCTTGCAGTAAATCATGTGTAAAGAATTTTTAGCTTTATGACTCCTTTTATAGAGTATAACTTTCATAGCAGAGAATTTGGCGAATATGTAGGTGTTAGAACTTAAAGAAAGTTTGTTCACTACTTAGAAAAACTTATTGTTTCAGAGACAATTTTTTTTGTCAGCTTGAATTCAGTTATTGCCAGAGGTTAGGAAATAGCATACCAAGGCATAATAACTCACAGCAATTTACCCAAGAATTGAGTTGTTTCCATGTCTGAACCCTGAACACTTTATTCATTTTTCTTAAGTCTGTTCAGAATTGCAGGATACCAGAATGGTTTGTAAAGGTAGCAGAGGAAAGCATTAGTTGTCTCCTTTGGGGTGGTATGTGTAGGGGGTGACTGTCCAAGTGCTCTTGGGGGATGTGCCTCACTGATGGGCTCCTTGTATGTGCAGGATGGAGACATTCCCTGCAGTGGCTGAAAAGGTCCTCAAGGAGTTCCAGGTGTTGCTGCAACATAGCCCGTCTCCTATTGGAAGTACCCGCATGCTGCAGCTTATGACTATCAACATGTTCGCTGTACATAATTCCCAGTTGAAAGGTAAGGAATGTTCAGTTACTTCATCTAGACAGAGAAGTGAATCTAGTTTCTTTCCTCTGCTTCCTTACCACCACCCCTAACCCCAAACACATACAAGCTGCCCTCCCCACCATTGCCTTTCAGAGATTTAGTTTACTGTCTGAAATCTGTAAGACTCTCTAGTGCTTGTGTGAGATGGAAGGAGGGAATCATGGTTATGGAGCTTAATTTGCAGACCTGGAGATGCTATTGCACATCTGGCCATGCTAAAGGCAGCAGCAAGGCCTCTTGGAGGCCGCAGACCCAGAGCCTCTCCCAAGGGAGAGGCATTGCTGAAATGTTTCATTGCAGAGACCATACGCTTGGCAAGGATTGGGAATAGCTGTTTCTGGATTCATGTACCCTGTTTGTTCAATATGGAAAAGTCTAGTTCCCTATGGGATATCCCTTGTGGGAGCCTGCCAGAGAGTAAGAACAGAGAATTGATGAGCTTTGGTGATTCAAATCTGGAAGCACAAAAACCACCAGGCCCAGAATTTGGCTAGTGCACTGGTGTGCATTCTGAAATGCTTTTCTGAACAACCTTTGGGGTTTTTGGTGGAAGTGGGGAAGTGGAAAGAGGGAAGGACAGATTGGCAGGGTTTTTAAATGTTCTGATGACTGACCAGATCCATGTTACTAGGATCTCTTCCCTTCCTCTCACCCCACTTTAAAGCATTTGATCCACACCACCAAGGAGTCATTTCAGAGGATTGGCAGAGAATATTTGGTTTCAGGGCTAGAAGGTTATTATCTGAAATGCCAGGAAGTGGGAATTGCCCTATGAAGAGCCGGTTGCAAAGCAGATCTGGTATTTCTGGAGAGAGTGCCACTGGCTCTCCTGTGGCACCTTTTCTCAGGGCTTTCTCTCACCCTGAAGTTGATTTATGTCTCTTTGTATTTCTGTTGGGATGTTATGCTCAACTTTCTGGTAGTGGGGAATTCCTACCCTGTTGAGTGAGATGCCACACTTTCCCTGGAAACAAGGCTCCTTCTGGGACTTGGCAAGATCCTTAGCTAGGCAGCCTGGGTTTTAGTTGCATCTGACTCTGGGAGGACTTTATCCTCTCAGGCTGCCTGCTAAAGCATTTATGATTTCCAGAAGAAGGCAAACTGCAGAGGCTTAGTAGCCTTTTTGAACTTGACTACTTACTCTTGAAGATGGCTATTTGTTTAGTCAGCAGTAAGGAAACATGAAAGGCAGCACTGGTTTCCAGGAAGGGGGAAATGCAGTTTGTAAAGTGCTACCGTGGTGAGGCTGTGAGGTTCAAAGGGGAGGGAGATTCCGCTACCAAAGAGCAAACTCAGTGAACTCTGGAAATGGGGCATCCTAGGTGTCCTCCTATTCGTTTTCCTCCTTTCTACTAAAACAACCTACTGAATTTAGTGAGCTGCCTGTCACAGAGCTGCAGCCTCTGCTGAGGTATTGTTCAGCATAGATGACCTTTGGCCTCTCTGGATGTGACTATAAGGGGCCTGTAGCTCTTGCCTCAGAAGCATCTGTTTTCAGCCACTTCTCCGTGGAAAAGAATACCTGGGCTTCTTCATAGACCACCAGTGAGTCCTTTTCTTGTAGCTACTGTTAAGTAAACTTAAGAAAATATGGGTGGAAGAAGGAAGGTGAGTATAGACCAAGAAGGAAGAAAGTAGTTCTTCCATGTGACATGTAAAAAACCTGTCCTTATTTCTGGCCTTGCCCTGACTCACCTCCATGAGGCAAAAGGAGCCCAAGCTGAGGTGGTCAGAGGCTCCAAGGGTTTTTCAGAGAAAAACAGTCCAGGCCACAGGATATAACACTCAACTAGGACACAGAGCTCTGTGGACGTGCTGCCAAGTACCCGGTGTGCAGCTGAGGCGGCTGTCCAGACCCCACTGTGTGGGCTGCCATTGGGAGAGGGGTGAGCAGAGCACTCAGCAGGGCTGGTTGGTGGGAAGATGCACTTTTCCATTTCCCAGCACATGAGTCATCTTCTCTGGGCCCCTGTGCTGTGCTTGCACGGACAGTGGCAAGAAGGGGGTGTTGTGGCTGAGTAGGAGCATCTGTGCCGGGGGTGGAAGGGGAAGGGGGTTGGGGAAAGGGTAAAGATTTAAATCCTTCACTAATCAGCAGCAGTTTGAATCACATTTTTATGAGTAAGGAAGTGATAAATCAGCCCTGCATGTTCGGCCCCCAAATCTCGTCAGCCCATGCCCTTCTAAAGGTTTCCCTCTGGGCCAGTCTGCATGCTGTCAAAGTCGCCACCCAGCCACAGGTCCCTGGCTGTCTGAAACCAGTAAGTAAGGCCTGATGCTGCCTGGCCCTCCCAAGTGCTTAGGGTCTATGGTCATTTGGCAGTCACTGCAAGTTATAGAACATCTGGGCCATCATTTTTCTTTCTATTCCTTCTTGGACATGTCCTTCTGGGTGGGTGTTTGCATATGTCAGTTCCTGGAATCTGTGAAGGAGAGCATTCCAGCCTGAAGCAGAGGTGATCTTGCAGCCCACATGGCAGTCCAGATCCTCAGTCTGTGCCTGAAGCTTCCCCATAGCTAGTAGTCAGGAATATAATTTGGAATGCAAAAGAGAAGTCCTTACTTAAAAAGAATGTCCTTTGCTGATACCCGTAATGCTTTCAGAATCATTCAGTTTTTGTGTTCAGTGCTACCCTTGTGTAACGGCCATCTTTTCACAATATCAGTAGTCCAGAATAGAATTTATATTGCTACTAACACTTTAGTGTGATTATTTTTCAGATATGCTTTCCTTGTGGACATAGGGCTGGTTGCTACAGTAGGGAAAATGGAGGAAAGAGCTTAAATGGTAGGAGAGAAAATGTTACAGAGGCAGAGATTATGAGATCAGATTCATTCCTTTTCTGCACATAGAGGAAAATAAATAGAGTTATATCATATGGTTTAGCCGATTAAGCTTTCAGGTTTGTAGCAGTGACCTTCAAACTCAGAGATTCAGGACTGTTGTTGGAGAGACTTGTATTGCTTATATGGGCCCTATGCAGTATCCTACTTCAGTGGAACTACAAGTCTAAACTCCTAATACTCTGCCCTGAGGTGATTGGGAACTAATAAATTTCAGGGACAGGACTAGAAATGTTTGGGGGTGCTGGCATAGTGTTGATATTTATTATGTACTGAACAAGTATTTGTTGAATGCATGGATGAAGAAGGCAGTGGCTCTGGGGGGGCTACTTCGTTAAGCAGTGTGTCCCTTACCTGACTTGTATCCAACACTAGTGGTGAAATAGGTGGTTCCCAGAGTGATGTCACAGTTGGTAATTGCTCTACAACTTTCTGAGCCTGAAGGGAGAAAGGACTTTTTCCACGTGCTTTAGTATTTAACACTTCAGTAGCCATCCGACTGGTTGATGTGATGTTGGCGGGTGAACTGTTGATCTAAACCACAAGCACTCCAAGAATTTTAATTTTTTAAAAATTCTGTAATTTAAGGAAATAAAACTCTAGTTTCTTAAAGAGGAATAATTGAAGCAACATTTGTAGTAGGGCATCACTGAAGCCCCATTGCATCCCCCATCTGTGCCCAATTTGCTCCAATCTAGCCTTTCCCTCCCCTCCCCCTCTTGCTCTCTCTTTTTAAAAAATATGTTTTATAATTTTTGGAATCAAAACCATCTCAGGCACACACTGTTTTATTTTACTGTATTATTGGATTATACTTCCTATAAATCATTGGATGTTACTCATTGGCCACCACAGGAATAACTTCCCTTTTCTGTGCCTTGGCCTCCTTTTTTCTCTACTAGTTTGTAGAGCATGTCTCCGTTTCAGCCTTGCAGAAAAAACCCTAGGGTAGCAGCAAGGGGGCACCCAAGAAATACTTCTGATGTGTACTGTTGGTGTTGCCTGTTGCGAGGGAAGATTTGGGGGTGAAATTGAGGTAATAACTAGACTGGCTTTCTTTTCATGATCATTTATGGTTGTTTTTGTGTTGTTGATAATCCTGAACTGCAAGAGTTAGAGGCAGTGCCACATGTGTGTCCTTGAAGAAGTAGAGAGCCATAGTACCATTGCACTAATAGAGCTTGTAACTCTTCCTTGTGCCATTGTTACATATGAAGTTGGCTGTAACTGAGTTTTTAGTTTACAATCAAAATTTGTCTTCTAGCATACAGCAAACCTTAGAGAGCTTAGAGAAGGTCCCTTGTGATGATTTGCTTCTGTCTCTCTTACCCAAGCAGAATGTATGATGTGCCTAATCCTCTGCTTGTTGTAACAGTTGTACAGGAAATCCACCTTTCCAGAAGGGGTTAGGCTTAAGTTTAGCTGTGTAAACTTTCCCTCTCGTTTCTGCTTCTGTGTCTTTGGTGGAAGAAGTCCTTGGACTCTCTCTCCACAGGATCCATGAATCAGTGCTACTTGACTTTCATTTTCAAGACTCATCAGGTTAGAGAAAATTAGCAGAGAGAGTGCCAGCTTGACCAACAAATTTTGTGAGAAGTAGATTTAAAGGTCAGAATAGGTTAGGCTTTTGAAGGCAGGCAGGCCAGAAAGCTTTGTCCTCTGTCCCTGTTGAGAAGAGATGACTGTCCACAAGTTGCTTAGCACAGACTTCTTTCCTTCAAAATATGTCTTTGGATCTAGCCATAGTTCCCTGGAAGAAAAAGGTGAAAGAAGTGTGTCAGGGGTCCTGCCTGTCTTCCCAGCTATGAATTCTAGCATGCTTCTTGTTTTTAGAGTGAATATGAAGAATGAGAAGCATTATGAAAACCTAAAGGAATGAGAAAATTTAGTCACGCCAATATAATTAATCCCCTTATCATATTGGTTGAAGAAATGGCCTTCATTTTCTCCTAAGGTAACAGTGTACTCTGGGCATGGAAGTGCATGCCTATAATTATAGCAGCTCTGAGGCAGGAGGATCTCTGTGAGTTCGAGGCCACCTGGGCTACATAGTGAGACTCTGTCTCCAAAAAAGAAAACAACCAAGACAACAATATGATTTGGTGTCCATGGTTAGTTGTTAGGTA